TTTTTATTCAGTTTTAAAATTTAGTATTGAAGGCCCTTTTGTGATGGGACCTTTTTGGTTAGAAGCTGCTTTATGATGGTCCCAACGCTGTCTATAAGATTATTTGGTTTTATTGTATAGTTTTAAAGCGACCTTGGAGATTGCAATAAGAGCATTAGTGTTACTTGGGAATGTCAAACGTCAAACCTATAGGTTATAACAAAATTTCGCAAACTAGAGAATTTAATTTAATTAAACCAATATTCATAGGAATATTATTTATTTAAAGATTTTAGTTTTTTTCTTATAAATATATAAATAGGATAGATTGTTTGTTTAAACTTTATTTACGTTTACTTAAAAATAAGAATATTTGAATTTTTAATAATAGTTTTATAAAAACATGCAAAAAAGTATAGCAATTGGATATTTTATATAGTAATTGAACACATGGACCAGAGTTATTGGACATACAATTTTATATAAACATAACAACTTTACATCAAATAGGTAACATAAATTGTTAAATATTTTTTAAAGATAAATTGCTGTTTTAGGTAAATTTTTTTATTTTGATTTTGTAAATATCATATAATTCATATATTTCTTTCTCGGATTCCTCATCCCTTTTCTGGATTCTGAAGGTAACTACTAATTCCTTGGTCTGACTTCTGAAATAGTTTGTTGCAAATATCATTAAGTGTGGTATCTATAGTTTTTGTGAAGCATTTATAATGTTCTGCCGGAACAGGATGATTTATATATATATCTAATATTTTTTCTTGTGGTAGGTATGTTAAAAGTATTTTTCGAATTTATTAATTTTGTTGCCATTAGTTCTTTATGTTGTCTATCATGCACTGTATTTAAATCACTGTTATTCTGCAAGATGTCCTGTGACGAAGAAATCACTATAATACTTATTCTCTAAAAATAAATTAGTCAAAATAGTCATAGCGAAAAAGCAGCTACTAATAATTCTCGTCAAAATTAATTTATATCCAGGACATTTAGCAGTCATTTCCTATGAAATATTATTCGCTGAATCCGAAAATGTCGTCAAAAGTTATGAAAGTAGAACAGTTTTTGAAATATAATCAATTTTACATATAAAATGGAATTGACTATATCTCAAAAACTGCTTAACTTTTATAGTTTTTGACGGCCTTTTCGGATTCAGGGGACAATTTTACATAAGAAGTGGCTGGTAAATGTCCGGGATACAAATAGAGTATGATATTGGACATATGTCTAATAATAGAAATTTACATTTTTTACCAACCAGTAATTGGACACTGGCCATTTTACTGTTTGTTTTCAGAATTAAAATTAAAACGCATTAAAGTGACCATGTTTAAACCATGAGGAAAACATTTATACCACACACAGATCTGTACACTTTTTAGAAATATTTTTTATTCTAGTTTAAACACAGCTCTTGACAAAAAACAAAAGTTTTACCACCAAAGTAACGTGGGACGTGTTTTATCAGGTAAATTTATTTGATCAATTTTTGTGCAAACAGACAATAAATAAAAATAATAAATAGGCAGTTCATATTTACTTGATTAAAATCCAACTGCATTTAAATATGCAATCGTCCCACTTTCCTCTTTAAAGCATCAATCGTATATTTTATTGTTCGTATTTTATTTCCTACATCAATGCATTAAGTGGCTAAGAAATAGGATTCATTAGTCACCCAGGACAGACGTCTCTCTGGCTAAAACATCTAACGGAACTTATTGACACACTTAGCAATTTTATGCTTATTATATAACACACAAATATTTTCACCTGGGGCATTCAGTAAATTCTCAATCTTGTTTTAGATAATATGCCGTAATAGATTTAATAATAAACCTACTAAATTGTTTCAATACATAATTTTTTATATCGGGAGGAATTTATTAAAAATAAAATTTATACTTAGGATACTATGAAATTAATTGCCAAAAGAATGTCAACTGGTTTTTAACAGTGCTGTTTGTTAAACTTATTGTCGTTTTTGTACAATTCATTGTTACCATTACATTATTAAAGTTCTACTTTCTTATTTAAATTAAAACGGTACTTCGTTGACGAAAATTGTTACTTTTTATGGTCTAACCCACAAATAACAAGAAACAAATTCCTGTGTTGTGAAATTAAATTTCTTTGAAATTAAAGCATTTCTACATTGAAATTTTTATACCAAAGGGCTTGAGGGAGTTAAAGAGGATCATAAGTTTCTTAAATGAAACCATTTAAAACTTTTGCGGTGAAATAGCCATTTTTGTATTTCCTTTTAAAGGACTCTTATCTCTTTTAAATCTTCTTGCACCTTTTTACTTAACTACCTATATTGCCAATTTTTTATTAATAAAAAAATATTTTTTTTGTAAAGATCACAAGCTCTATTCTAACATTCTATTCTCCTTTCTGCAACAGGTTTTTAAACATACGTTATTTGCTTTATACTACCTTCCAAATGCAATCATATTTGTTAGTTGTAATAATATTTTTCGATTATTAAATTCTACATAAAATTTTGAGTAAAATTACTGTACCATGTCCTATACCTAAAGTAAATAGTTTTCGAGTTATTCATTTTTTTCGTTAAAATATGACAAATACGCGTCAATCAAAAATAGCCTATAACTTTTTTGCTATTAGGTTTGACGGAATGGGGGTGGAATTTTTGAAATCATTGTTTAAAAGATTCCATGTCAATTCTTTAACATTTTTTTAACAAATTACCCAAGAAAACCCAGGAAAATTAGGCTAACTTGAAACGTTAATAACTTTTTTATTTAAAAATGAAACACCCTGTATGTTTTTAATTATTCAAATAGAAAATTTAAACACATTTCGATTGATGTAATTGTAATCTCTGAAATTATTAACTTTAGGTATAGTGAACTCGAAAACTATTTACTTTAGGTATAGGAAATTGTATAGTAATTTTAGGCATGTAAAAATACATGGGGTGTTCTGTTTGAAATAACAAAGTTCCGGTCAAACAGGAAGTGGCATTTTGTTCAAAATATTAAAAAAATAGAATTAAATCGATTATAAAAGCTTTTAAATTTCAAATCGATATTTATTTTCGTTCCCCAGAAACTTCCAATGGACCATGAATATGAAACACTCTGTATATCAAGTGGTGTTTTTTAGATTGTGATACCACCATAGATTCTAAAGCAATGTATAATCGTCAAACTAAAAGATCAAGATTTGTTTCTAACATATATTTAATATAAGATAAATACAAATTTTTTATTAAAAAAAAATCAAAAATTAAATTAAAATTGTCACTTTCTTAAGTATTATGTAAAAACATAAAATATTTTAAGAAAAAAATGATTTATAACAAAATAGAGAATTGAAAATCTGTTTAAAATAATAAGAATGGATGTGTAAAAAATTTAAATGACGTGATTTCGTAAAACGGTGAGACACGGGTACCTCTATTTTTAAAATTAGTTAAAATATAAAAGTTGAAAATCGTGTTGAATTGTGTAATATTATTATAAATATGAACTATTTTATAACAAAAACAACTTAAATGACCAAACACTGTTTTAGAACTGTGTCTAAAAAACACAATTTTATTAGAATACAAACTGTCTTAAATAGTCAAAATCCCAGTGAAGATTTTTTTTGTTTATTTGAGTCTCAAGCGAAATCATTCTAGCGTTGCCAAATATCAAAGGTCAAAGGTCACTATACACAGTTTTTTCTATTATTTCGTAAACTAACGAAGATTAGGCTGTCAAAGTTGAAAAAAAATAGTTTTTTTCTCATAACTCAGATGACGGTTGACAGATGACATTTGACAGTTGACAGATGACATTTGACAGTTGACAGATGACAGTTTACAGTGGACAGATGACAGGTGACATATGTGTCTGGACGCTGGTGGAATGCATTTCGAACTTTGCTATGAATTTATTCATAGAATGTATCAATCAAACTTACACAGTTTTTTTCTATTATTTCGTAAACTAACGAAGATTAGGCTGTCAAAGTTGAAAAAAAATAGTTTCTTTCTCATAACTCTCATAACAGGTGACAGATGACGGTTGACAGATGACATTTGACAGTTGACAGATGACATTTGACAGTTGACAGATGACAGTTTATAGTGGACAGATGACAGGTGACAGATGTGTCTGGACGCTGGTAGAATGAATTTCGAACTTTGCTATGAATTTATTCATAGAATGTATCAATCAAACTTACACAGTTTTTTCTATTATTTCGTAAACTAACGAAGATTAGGCTGTTAAAGTCGAAAAAAAATAGTTTCTTTCTCATAACTCTCATAACAGGTGACATATGACAGATGACGGTTGACAGATGACATTTGACAGTTGACAGATGACAGGTGACAGATGTGTCTGGACGCTGGTGGAATGCATTTCGAACTCTGCTATGAATTTATTCATAGAATGTATCAATCAACCTTATTTGCTTAATTTTAAATTAACCAGGGGGGTAAAAAATAAAGGGGAGAAAAAAAAAGCACTCTCCATTATCTACGTCCCTTGTATATTGTGATAAAACGCGTTATTATTGTTTAATAGAGACTTAATTTTAGTAAACTTATATAAATGTTTAATGTTTTAAGAAAAAAACGATTTTTTGTTTTAACTTTATTAGTTGTGCGTTTTAGATATATTTACTGGATTAAATCGTCTTATTTTTTGAAGCTCCATCGATCCCAAAAGTTTGGCAATTAAAACCTGCACCACCCTGTATATTATTAAAACCATCTAAATTATATAAATACAATTAAAAACTGAAAACCGTCTAAAACAGCCCAAACTCTATAAAAACTATATTAATAGCTTAAACTTTTTGACTTGTTTTAAATATATATGCATTACTATTTTCTTCGACTGTACATATAATCAAACATTAATTCTTAGGGGTATATAATTTTAAACACCGTGTATTATATTACAATATAATTTTATAAAATATTTTCAAAATTATAAAATTTTCAAAAAAATAATAACTTTTATTTTTTGTTTTAGGTGCCACAACTGGTAGAAACATAAGAAACTTGCCATGCATATCTCGAAAAAACAACGAAAGCGGGGTGTGCATGTTTGCGATAGACTGTGTAAAAGCCAATGGAACCCACTTGGGTACCTGTATAGATAGGTTTTATTTTGGGTCGTGTTGCCACATAGAACCACTGCATGATATTACGGAAAACACGATAGACACCGAAATAATACCTTCAAGAGTGCCGCCTCAAAGGTTGAGCACCACGAGCCCGAGTACAATAAGTACGCCAAATAGTGGGGATATAGTTAATTTAATTAATAAATTAGGTGTTAGTAATGCAACGACTGAAACTACAAGTACTACAACTGAAAAAATTACTACGACAACGAAAAAACCCATACCAACAACAACAACAACAACAACTATTTCTACAACTACTACAAAAAAACCAAAAGTAACGACGCAAAAACAACCTACAACAACACAAAAAGTATCTGTAACAACCACAGAACCCCCCGTAACCGAAATAATCGAAAAATTGCAAACGTTTCAATCAGTAAATGGCAACACAGCATCAACGAACGTAACGACAACAACGCCAATAATAACAACAATTAAACCTGTGAAACTAACGACAACAACGGTTAAACCTACGCAGAGGCCTGTTACAACAACTAAACCACTAACAACATTGAAACCTGTTACTAAAGCCCCCACGAAGCCTAAACCTATTCGACCGGTTACAACGACGCCCAAACCTGCCAAAGTAACGAAAGTGCCAACGAAATTAACAACGAAACCTGTCAAAACAACGAGTAAACCTGTTCAAGTAACGAGTAAACCTGTTAAGGTAGCGGTTAATGTTACAACAACGACAAAACGACCGGTTACCTCTACATCTACAGTGGTTACAAAGAAACCTGTCACAACTAAAGTGACAACCAAAAAGCCTGTTGTAACAATCAAACCCACTAAAATTGTAACGGTTAAAACAACGACTGTCGCACCTACGACAATCAAAGTAACAACACCTGTTACAACAACAATTAAAACAACGAAAACACCTCCAAAAAGTACACTTCCACCTGTAACTGTAACAACTGCAACTGTAATAACTCAAACCTCCATCACCACTCAACCACAAGTAACTAAAAAGCCTTTGGTGTCGACTACGGAATCCAATGATCTACCAGTGCAAAAATTGAATGTAACTTCGATTTTGGAGACAGTAAATGGTAATCCAGCAACGAATGAAATTGAAGCTGTGAGACCTGCAGCTGTCAGTACCACAGAAAAATCATCTACCAAACCATCTTTGGTCACTTGGACGGTTGCTGATGATAGGAAAAATTCCACGACGCCTTCAATAGATGCTCCAGCTTCTAACTCAACTGAAGCACGTAAGTTATAAACATAAATATACATTACACTCTTTACTTTAACTAACTATATGTGCGGTTCAATTTAAATTTTGTTATAGTTTTAATTTTGGCTTTGATTTTTTCCATTCAGCCATGTAGTTTTAATTTGTCTGTCACATCTTCATTTTTATTAGAATATATTTCTAGGGCATATTTTTTAATATATCAAATATTAAAAAATGTTAAATAATAAAACATTAATCTATGTAAGTACACAGAGACTATACATAAATCAAATTACAAAAGCGTATTTTTGCAAATTCATCTGGGAGAAGTAATATGGCTCTGTAGTAATTTAAAATTTTACTTCAAGTAAAACAAATGTCTTAACTTTTAGCATAGCGGTATTATACCTAATATAAAAGGGAGGGTTTGTTAAGGAGTGCTAACATTATTTAAAGAAAGCCGTATGTTTCTTATAAACCCTTATCAACTTGACATGGTTATTAGGCTGGTCCAAGTTTTATATTTATTGTCTTAAGAAGCATTTTTATTCCATATTCTTCAGGAATTTTACCCTGTATATGCTGAAAATTAAAAATATTATTATTTTACATTTAAAATAATTCTGATTATCCAGCAAATTAATTATAAATGGCAACATATTTCCTTTCCTAGTTTCAGAAGTTCATTAGGTAACTAGTACAAAATTTCAAATAAAACTCATATCTAGCGGAAATTATTCCGACTAATTGGTACGTTTAGGATTTGAAATACTATCCTGATTATTCGTAGCAAATGACGTTTGCTAATCATCGACCATTTCCTAACTTTGTTATTGGTTAAGGTGTAACGAAATATAAGTGAAAAAATACACCGTTAATAAAGATACGGTAGTATCGATAGTATCGTATTGAGGTTTCAGGCCAAACTAATTTTAAAAACAAATAAAATTTAATTTGATTTTGGTGAGTCGGTATGTTATTGGAATTATTAACAAATAAGATTATTTACATGATAAATTGAAGAAACTGGATGACAATGTAGATTAATTTTTTATTGTAAATTCACAGAAATAACAAGGTTATAACGATTTTGGGTTTTGAAAGATGTTTTCTTTATTTCAAATATTTTAAGAACCACTGGCTTTTTTTCAGTTTATTTTTTTTTATTTTAATAGGCTTGTAGTTACACAACATTTCTTAAATTTTAGACCTTGTAGCTCTGCCAATGAAAAAAATACCCATAGTATAATACTTGGTTCATCCTGTATATATTAGGGTGGGCCGAAAAAAAGTTTTATTTTTTTCTTTAGTTACCATGAAAATATCACCCAAGATAACGAAAAAAAAATTCTGATAAAGTTTGAGCTCTTAATATTAATATTTAAAAAAATGTACGTTTGTAATTTTATTACGTTTTACGGAATCAGTGAGTTGTATAAATCAAAACATATTCTTATAGGGAATTGAACGATCTACAAAAAAATCTAATATAATTTTTTGCTTAGTCCACTCGTTTAAAAGTTATTTAAAGTTAAAGTTTAACTTCAAATAGTAAATGATGACTTTTATAGTTTTTCATACTTTATCACGAAATATTGGCTCAAAAACATGAAATATCATATATTTCGTGAAGTTTATAGTGAAAAAAAGGTTTTTTTTTACTTAATTTTTAAAAAGTTCAAAATTTTTTCTTTACCTGAGTAATGACCAAAAAAATTAATCATTTTCTCAATGTAGAGTATTAAAAGTCATGTTTCAATAATTTTTCAATTAAAATAAAAAATGTTATTCCATAACTTGTACTTTTTTCACTACCTTAGAATCAAACTAAATGTTTTCTTGTTACAAATGGGATATTTTTGCCGGTTGTTTTGAACTACTCGCAATAAGTATCAAATATATTTAATATATTTGATTTACTTATTGACTTTATCGATAAAAATTTAGAATTTTGGACACAGGATGAAAGCTATCAAGATAATCTAGTATTTTTTAATGGTATACCAAAATTTAACAGCCAATTCTCATGTAAAATTATCCCCTAAATCCGAAAATGTCGTCAAAAGTTAAAAAAGTAGAGCAGTTTTTGAGATATAGTCAATTTTCCATTTAATATGGAATTGACTATATCTCAAAAACTGCTCTCCTTTCATAATTTTTGACTGTATTTTCGGATTCAGGGGACAATTTTGCATAAGAATTGGCTGTTAATTTTGGGATACCATGGTTTCCCATGGTTAACCATGGTACAAGTGAAAAAGCAGCCACTAATAACTGTAGTCATTAATCATTTTTGACTAATTAATTTTTAGTGGCTTTTATTACTCTACATTACCTTATAGTCAAATTTAAATAAAATATTTATTATTTTTTGAGAAAATGATTAATTTTTTGTCATGAGTATGAAAAAAAAAATTTGAATTAAAAAAAAAAATCAAGTATAAAAAAACGGTTTTTTCACGATTATTGATATTTCGTAAAAATTGTTTTGTTTTACCGAAGAAGACTCTATAAACATCACGAAAAATATGATAATTCATGATTTTGAGCCAATATTTTGTAATAGAGTATGAAAAACTATAAAAGTCATCATTTACTATTTGAGGTTGAACTTTAACGAACTTTAACCTTAAATAACTTTTAAACGAGTTGACTAAGCAAAAAATCATGTGGGAACTTTTTGAAGATCGTTCAATTCCCTACAAGAATATGTATTGATTTCTACAACTCACTCTATTGTTATTTAAATGAAAAATAAAAAATAGCGATGAGCCACATCTTAATATTAATATTAAGAGCTCAAATTTTATCAGAATTTTTTTTGACTTCTTAGGCGATATTTTCATGGTAACTAAAGAAAAAAGTTTTTTTGGCCCACCCTAGAATACATATATTTAATATATATTATATCTTTAGTTGAAACGCTGGTTCTAACTCAAAGCAAATAGAAAACCTATCCCAGTTATGTGTGTGATGGTAGATTTTAATTTTTTTGATCTTGAAATTTGTATTTTTGAGTTGATTTTCAATCCTTCAAATTCTTATATCTCCTAAGTCAAGCCTCTAATCTTTTTCAAGAGCAACTATTTTTCCGAATTGATAAATAAATAAAATTTAAAAATACAAGCCATTTTTTAAAATAATTAGGAGGTAAAACATATTTATACATACCTACAACATTATCAAGTTGTGATCTATATTTCAAATTTGATAAAAACTTACATATTTACACTCAGAGAAATATCATGTCATGAAAAGCATATGAAATGATATTAATTTAAATAATTGGGTAAATTTGATTTAAATAGAAAAAAATGTAGTTTTATATTCATTTACCAACAGTTTTACAATGTTTTTAAACACTTTTAAAGTGTACTCTTTTTAAAATATATATACAAAAAGAAATCTATTTATTTCATTGCCTTTCTCAACGTTATTTTAAAAATATATGTATTATACAATTGTTATACACCTTTTAATTTAATGAGAAACACCAATGACGCCAAAACATATTTGAATCCCTTTGAATTATTAGGGAAACAAATATGTTTTGGCGTCATTGGTGTTTCCCATTAAATTAATAGGTGCATAACAATTGTATAATACATATCTTTTTGAAACAACTTTGAGAAAGGCAATGAAATAAATGGATTTCTTTTTGTATATATATTTTAAAGAGGGTACACTTTAAAAGTGTTTCAAAACATTGTAAAACTGTTGGTAAATGAATGTAAAACTAAAATTTTTTCTATTTGAATCAAATTTACCCGATTATTTAAATTAATATAATTTCATATGCTTTTCATAACTTGATATTTCTCTGAGTGTAGGGTAGAATTCGCTCTTCAACTTTTTTAAACCCTGTATAACTGTATAAGTAAATAAATTTATCCTCAAAAACACAAATCCATCTTAAAATTAACAATTTGTACTCAAACTGCACAAAACTTGTTGCAAAACAAATCAAACTAATATCGATGATGTAAATGTTTTAGCTGAAGATTGGGTTCCAATAACAACCCCAGATGGCTGGGTGCTACTCCCTAGCGTATCACCAATCACAACGAACCCTTTAAGCGTAGAAACAAACACCACAACGCAACCTTCATTTATAACCACGTGGAAAACACCTGAAGAAACTAAAACACCAAGTACATCCTCACCAACTGTGGTTACAACACCACCTTCCACCACCATAACAACGACAAAAACTCCCACATCGTCACCAAAGCCGTCTATAACTTACATACCATTACAGCCTTCTACGACTGAAGGGGGCGTAACGAATTTGGGTTCATCGATAACAACGATGGCACCAGAGAAAATTGAGAACGTTACAGTGACAACCGAAAAAACATCGGGTGAGAATTTGGGAACTACGTCGAGTTTAGTTGGCGATAATTTAACCACGTCTTCGCCACCCATATCCCCACCTGTTAATATGAGTGATTTCACCCATGGTAAGTGATTTGGATGAAAAATCATATTTGTCAAAAAGTTCTGGTAAAATTCAATGATTATAGACTAGGGTGATTCATTTCCGCAAAGTTTTTGTTTTCTTCGGTGCTCAAGCAAAATATTAATCTGCATATAGAAAAAAAAATTCTCAACAAGTTTGAGCTCTTAATATAAATTTTAAGTACTTACTATTTAAATTTAAAGTTTTACCGTTTAAAATGCATGTAAAAAATATATATTTTTTCAAATTTCTAATGCAATATTGCAAATCGGTTTAATACACCTTAAGGGGAATTTTACGCTCTTTAAAATTGCTTTTGAGTTTTTTTTTGTAACTCGCATTGGTTTACCAGTAGGAGTCGTCAAAGGACAGTTTTTGGAAAAAATCGTTTTTTTTTAATTTTTTCTAACAAACCGCAAAAAGTAGGGTGAAAAAAGGACTGAATCATAAAAAAAGTTATCCAACCATATTTAATGAATTTACAGCCATTTTTATAACTGAAAACGTAAGAAATTGATAATTACCAACTCATAATGTTATTTAGATTGATTTTTTCTATTTATTATTATTATATTTCCCTACACTAAGAAGTTTTTTAAAATTATTGATTTCTCACTTATAATGAATATCAAAACAACAGATAAATTCATAAAAAAACAATAAGAAAATTGTAACGTGGATTTTGCAATTTTTCAACATTTCTGTCATATAGCAAAAAAATATAAATGAAGATTATGTAATTTTTTGAAGCGAAATTTGAAATATGTTACATAACCTTCTGTATATTCCGATTAAAGTTTTGTTGATTTTTATGAATTTATGTGTTGTTTTCATATTCATTGTGAGTGAGAAATCATAATAATTTTAAAAAAGTTCTTAGTGTAGGGAAATATAATGATAATAAATAAAAAAAATCAATCTAAATAACATTATGGGTATTTATCAATTTCTTACGTTTTCAGTTATAAAAATGGCAGTAAATTCATTAAATATTGGTTGGATAACTTTTTTTTTATGAATCAGCCCTTTTTTCTCACTACTTTTGGCGATTTTCTCAAAAAAAAAAAAAAACGATTTTTTTCAAAAACTGTCCTTTGACGACTCCTACTGGTGAACCAATGCGAGTTACAAAAAAACTCAAAAGCAATTTTAAAGAGCGTGAAATTCCCCATAAAGTGTATTAAACCGATTTGCAATATTGTCAAAGGTGGGTAAGCATTAGAAATTTGAAAAAAAAAATATATTTTTTACATGCATTTTAAACGGTAAAACTTTAAATTTAAATAGTAAGTGCTTAAAATTAATATTAAGAGCTCAAACTTGGTGAGAATGTTTTTTCCTATATGCAGATTAATATTTTGCTTGAGCACCGAAAAAAAACAAAAACTTTGCGGAAATGAATCACCTCTAATAATTTCTGTTTTTTTTTCATCTTTAATTCCTAATCATTAAACAATAACCTAAACAACTTATAAATTATTGTCTTAAAATTAACCAAGTAGAAGTCTATCAAGATTGCGAGCACTTAAAATTCCTTCTTTGTCTTCAACAAGCAGACAGCTATTATTACTTGTCTGCGAGAGTAAAATGTTAACTCTCTGAGCATGAAGGCCGTTTTCCACCTGTGTAGTTCAAATGTAATAAAAGTTGAGGTAAACTTGGGAATTTATAAGTTCAAAGTAAGATAGTGCTTGAGTCACTGTACACTGACACATAACAGTTGGGATAATATAAGTTTTCTGAGGTACTTAAAAAAAGTAATTTGATGTCACAATTGCTGTTTATCTGAAAATTAATCTTAGCTCATACATAATATGTTAAGATTATAAATAATTATAGTAAAAATATTTTATATTTATTTAAAATTAAAGATATTTACCTTCAAGTCTATCGTCTTTAGCGGAAATTACAGTGATCTTGAAGGAGACGAGCTGTTATTATAATAAAGAATTTAGTCACGTGATGCAATTTAAAACTAATCAGAAGAATTTGCGAAACAAAAATATATTATAGCAAATAAGTAAGTGGGTATACCAAACCAATTTGGCGTTAGCTCTGGCAGGATGGTTCTTGAACTTTCAAGGTAAATTGACGATCATGGGCTGCAGTGCCGGCACAAGGAAAAATAACAATAAAAATATATCACAAAAATCAGAAAATAATTAAGAAAATAAAATTATGAAAAGGTTTAAAAAAATTCCAGATTATCTAAAAAATATCAACAGTAAAGAAACACGAGATAATCAGTAATTGTAGTAATTTATATTTTAAATATAAAAAAGGATTAAAAACAATTTAATCAAATAAAACAATTAAAATAAATGTTATTGTAAATTTTGCTTTAACAATTTTGATATGAAAAAAACTAAAATAACAATTAAATTTATAATGTGGAAAATAACCAGGCATTCTCAAAATCTCAAAAACTAAAAACCCTTTAAAATTACGAGCAAGTGCTTAATTAAATAAGTGTCTAGAAAAGTTTATAAACAAGTTGTATTAGTATATTAGTTTTTCTACGACCAATACTTGATATTATCTTAAAATGATTTAAATTAAATATTTGTATAGAGCCACATCTATAAAACAATAGAGTACCCAACTTGAGAATCTGTATTACAGGCGTTTAATCCGGTATAGAAGCAGTTTTTCATAGGCAAAGTAAAGAAAATGTTTGATTGGCACTTTACGGTGGAGTCTCCACCCGTAATTAAGTTAAATATAGGTTACTGCCGACGAAATTAAAAAGTTCAGTACAATGTTCATATAATATTTTCAAATATTGGCGTTAAGAAACTATTTAATACTTTTGTATTGAGATAATAAAATAATTTTTACATTTAGTATTATTTTTATACTTCACTTTTTTTTAATAAATATAACAAAAAAATAGTTGCTTTTGTCACGGCAAAAAGATCATTTTTATAAAAATTATTTATCTACAAACGCTGCTTTCAGTAATAGCATTTGCATATTTGCAATTATACAATTTTAATTATAAAGTAAATTTACGTTATGTATAAAAATAACACTCTTCCAGATGCAGAAACGCATTTTTATAAATATATATAATAACTATAGTTATTATTATTTGTCCAACAACAGTTCTATACCGTTTACAAAAACGTTTTGTAGTATTAATGAAACCCTAATGGTATTATTCAAAGAAATTTTGTAAATTTTACAAATTCCTTTTCGTTTAAAATAAAACTTTTTTTTATAGTATTAATAAAATGTATGTAAATTCAACAACAAATTAATTGTTAATTCAATAAACCATTTTCATTGTAACAATGGTCACATGTTTAACCTACTGTTGGGTGTTGGGTAGTTTTTTTTTAAATAATTGCAAAGCATTAAACCAAATTATTTATTATATCAAAAAAATTAACTCATATTATATGATGTACAAAATAAAAAAAATATGAACAAGTCTGCTTCGTTTATAGAATAGACCTTAAATATTTATTTTGGAAAACGTCGAAATTTTAAGTTTCTTAGTGATCTTTTTGATATTTTTATCATGCTAGATTTTACCACACTTCACTCGCACAAGTGAAATCAATAAGATTATAACACAGACTGTGGATTATATAGTTATGTTCACCAAGAAGAGCGCTGGCCCTTTCCCCCTCTTTTTAGGGAAATAACAAAAAACTTTTTATAGCAATAAAATATTTTTGATATTGTTCTTAACGTAAGCTATTAACAAAGATTTTCTAACTAAAATAAAATTAATTTGAATTACAACGATAGTAATTTAAAAAAGACAAATATGCCATAGTAAAATAAACAAATTTTACTATAACAACTGCGCAATTCACACACAACTATAGATTTAACAAAAACATTTTAAGTTCGACAAAGATTTAATATAAACAAAAAGTATTTCTTATTGCCATGACAATATGATGATGTTAGATGGACATTTTTTTTACAAAAGCTCAACATTGCTGCTTCATTCTAGTATAGTAAAGGTGGGAGAAGAAAAAATATAATATTATTTATTTTAAAATCCTTAACCTGATTTTTAAACAAACCGACACAAAAGGATTTTTTCTAGTATAAGTTGCAGACTTCGATAGCAAAAAACTTGCCAAAGGCGTCACACGAAGCTGAATCCTGCACTGAATTCAGCCTCGCAACTTGAATGAAAAATAAAACAATATTAAACGAGTTTGCTTTAGTGTTCGAAAACGGTAGACATTTTAAGTGGCATTTAAGAGCCGTGCCGAGTTTTAATTGAATTAGAACCCGATGAAAAATTATGACAAGTGAAGTGTACTTTGCAACACGTACAAAAGACCGTCAATCTGTTTTCGTCATGTGCAATTTTGAAAACATGTAATTTTTGTGTGGTTTAGCTTTTCAAGTTTTTTAATCCTTGTTTTGTAAATAGTATTAATATTATCAACAATATTTGGGTAATTGGTTAAACCAAACTTTTTGTTATTTTAGTTTTTAAATAAAAATGTAAATTTTTAATTTACATTTTTGATAAAGAGTATTAAAACTATTAAAACAAGTAACTAGTCAAAAAATAATATTTAATGTCTAAGTCTGTGCTAATAATATAAGGTCATGGTTGCAAAAAACTTCTATACTAATTATAATATTAATTAAAATGAGGATTAAGTAATTTGAATTAAAATAAAAAAATAAAAACAAATTAAAAATGTTGAGATAGGTAATTAAGTAGGTATATTGAATTTTAAGGTTATGTTATTAAATACCTACTACTTAAATAAGTTGTATTAAAAAAAACAGTTAGTTGTGTTTTAACATTAGTGTCGGTTAAACATAAAAAAGATGAAACAAAAATCACTCTAAACATTGATGTTTACCCTTGACAAATATGACTTTTTGTTGAACTTAATTACCGGGATAATGTTGAATATAAGTTCGGCTCTTTTGTTGGCAACAGTGTGCGGGAGGAGGATGTTTCCCGAAGCAAGGATCGTGGGCGGCGAGAAATCTTCATTCGGAAAATGGCCTTGGCAGATTTCCCTGCGACAATGGAGGACATCGACGTATTTACACAAGTGTGGAGCTGCTCTTTTGAATGAGAATTGGGCCATCACCGCTGCCCATTGTGTGGATAAGTAAGTATATTTACGGTATTGTTGGTGGTTTTTGCTGTGGAGATGATGGGAAAATGATAAGTTTAATTTATTTGTAATATGGTAATTTTGATTGTTGGGGTGAAAGCTACAACTACTACAACATTTTGTATACCTATGTATTTGACCCCTATAGAGGTAAAAAAAAATCTTGATAAATTTTAAAAGAAGTAAACTGCTTGACTGTGAATTGAAGTACGTGATCGAATTTTTTCCCGAAAACGCTGAGCGTAGATATTAACAGCAATATCAAGATTCCTGTCTGCTTCTCCTTAAATCAAAATCATTTCTATTTTTTCTTCCATTAGGAATAACGAAAGGTGGTCTTTAATCTTCGAACTAAATTGATTAAATAATGCTAAACTATGTATAAATAGTTTTTTTATACCTCAATAATAATTATTATTTATAACTAAATACCATTTTTTTATACCTCAATTAGGATTAAATTAATTAATTTACAAAATAATGTTTTTTTACCTTAAATGATGTATTTTTATAAAAAATAGTACAATAATCCTTTAAATTAAAGGATTTAATTCTGGCAGGTAAAAAGTGACCATGGTGCGCAATTGATAATTATCACCGGACGAAATAATGCATAAAACTTAAACCAAAGGAAACTTAAATATTAGTTAAAAATCGTGGGTACTTAAATCAGATTTAATAAAATAACATAATTATTATCAAAAAAAATGATATATTTTTTTTTAATTATTGCAGAATCGTATTAGAAGAAACATCTAACAAAATTGATTTTTTTCATTACAGCTCCTTCTATTTAAAGTATGAAAAAATGTTTTGACAAAATCTACCTATTTTCTAAATAACAACCCCACTTTTTCATCAAAAATTTATAATGCACATTTTTCTGGGCACGACGATACCCCATAACTTATGGGCCATAAGTTGGGTTTAGTAAACATAGTTTTTAATTCAGGGTGGAAATGTAATAACAAATTGAAAAACTAAATTTTTTATTTTAAAATTATTTCAAAATTCTAAAATAAACTGTTCTTCAATGTTATAAATGTTTAAAATGTTCACTTCCTGACGTATACTTACTGTGAAATTGTTCTATCAAACGGTGCATAAATATTTAATTACACGTTGTTAACAAACAAATTAATTTTTCATAAAAAAATTTATAACCTGACTTCATAGTAATGAGTAGATTATTTTTCAAACTTACATTTAATTTTTCTTTCAACATAGGCTCATTTGAGAAATTTCTACTCTTTTACGAATCTATATATAGATATCTATCTATACGATGTGTGTTCAGAAAATATCGGGAATTTTCGTTTTTTAAAACAAATATTTATTTATTCGTCTACATTAATGTTGTCGCCTTCAAAATAGTCCCCATTGGATATTATGCACATGTGCCAGCTCTTCTTCCAATACTCGAAACACTTCTAAAACTCGATCTTTGGGATAGCCTTTAGTTCTTTAAGCGATGCGCTTTTAATGTCATATATGCTTGCAAAACGACGTCCCTTTAAGGTTCTCTTTATTTTTGGAAATAGGAAAAAGTCAGACAGAGGCATGTCTGGCGAATATGGAGGCTGGGGCATTATTACAGTATTGTTTTTGGCCAAAAATTTTGTTCAAAATTTAAAAATTTTAGAACAAATTTTGCTGCCACGCGTTTCATACCCAAAACATTCGAAAAAATTTCATGAAATGAGCCAATCGATATACCAACATCATCAGCGACTTCTCTGATGGTTTATAACCATTTCTTCCACTTTTTCCATGTTTTTATCGGTTGTTAATGTGCTTGTTCGTTCGGGGCGTTCGTCATCTTCAACGTCTTCACGGCCATCTTGGAAACTCTTATACCACTTGTAAACTCTTGTTTTACTTATAGCAGACTCACTATAGGCCTTTGTTAACATTTCAGAGAATTTATTTCATTTTTTAAGCAAAATTGGATACAAATTCTTTGATCCATTTCTTTTAACGAACAAAAAATCGCCGAGTTCATAAAACTCGTCTAACCTTAGCGGCTGCCACAGACAAAGTAAACAATGAAAACAGCTAAAGTTTTTATCATACTTCGGGGGCATGTATACCAACATAATAAAGAAAATTTTATGACAACCGGACCCTGTGAACCCGCGAAATTTAACGATTCCCGTTATTTTCTAAACACACCTCGTAAATAAGATAATCTTTAAAAAACCACATCATAATGTAGGTATTTCAAAAAGCTTCAATATTTGGATATCGATTCGTAAGAAGTTTTTTGTTAAAATAATTATAGTTAACTCTATAATAAACTCTTTTGATTTTTTTGGCTAAATATATTTATTATAAAAAACATGAACTCTTTGAAGAAACGTTTTTTAATATTAAAAACCAATTTTCCTAAATAAAAAAACTCCATTCAAATAAATTCATAATAAATACCTAAAGGTATTTTCCATTTAATGAGAATTTTTTAAGTCAGCAATACAAAAAATGAGGATATAATAAAGGATAAAGGTATTTTTTAAGAAAAAGAATCATTATCAAAAGTTGTAAAGTAAATCGACATGGCAAAAAAGCTTGTGATGTTTTATTTGATATTTTGGGAAATAAGCAAAAAATTATTTTAGAGACCCAACTTGTTTAGTATTTAATCTTTAATGTAAGGTATGTATATATGTAAATGGATTATTAAATATTATATAGGGCTTTCAATAAAAAAATATGCACCTATAATAACTGGTTATTATATATTATATTAAATATAAAAATCCTATTTTTGTTGTTAATTTTTTCAAAATTCAATATTACTTGGTTTACTTTTATTTACAAAAAAATTAAATCCTGTTGTAAAAAAAGAAACTTTCTTTCCCCATTTAGTTAAAATTGTTTTACTTTTATTCTGATATTTTGCCGTTCAAGCACACTCGTATAAAAGAACGATTTGGAAGTTTTATATTTTCTTGATAAACTTTGGCGACACTGAAACGTTAATAAAAAAGTTGCGGCATTATTTTTCTGAAGCTGCAAAGCGCACACGAACAATTTGACAGGCTAGATTAACGACACACGGAGCAGGATTATTTAGTGCTGCCAGTCCTGCCAACGGTTGTCATAATAAACCCTAGGATTCAAATAGGAGTAATTGTATTTTATTTTAATTTTGAGAGGTCCATTAATATAAATTAAAAGTACTCAATTAGAAAATAATAATAACTGGGGTAGCTCAGTGGAAATTTTTTAAAATTTATAAAGAAAAGATGAAAAGATTTTTTTTAGAGATTAACATTTTAAAAATTAAGTTCTTATAAACTTGATGCAAGTCTGTTTGCTTTCCTTTGTAGTGGTTTTCAGATTTTTTGCAGCGTGCTCTTTAAATTGCTATTGTTGCTTTTTCGTCCTTTGGAGATTTTCTCATCCTATTCGTGAACAAAGACATAGTTATTGGACACTTAAGGAATATTATTTATTTAAAATGTATATATGCCAATGTTTTGGAGATTTTAGTTTTTTTCTTATAAATATTTATATATATAAAAAAAGGATAGTTTGTTTGTTTAAATTTTATTTGCGTTTAATTAAAAATAAGAATATTTGAATTTTTAATAATAGTTTTATAAAAACATGCAAAAATGTATAGTAATTGGACATTTTATTTAGTAATTGGACACATGGACCATAGTTATTGGACATACAATTTTTATATAAATATAACAACTTTACATCAAATAACATAAATTGTTAAACATTTTTTAAAGATAAATTGCTGTTTAAATATCATTTAATTTATATATTTCTTTCTCGGATTCCTCATCCCTTTTCTGGATTCTGAAGGTATACTTTCTTATAACTACTAATTCCTTGGTGTGACTTCTGAAATAGTTTGTTGCAAATATCATTAAGTGTGGTATCTCTAGTTTGTGAAGCATTTATAATGTTTAGGCCAAAACAGGATGATTTATATTTATCTAATATTTTTTCGGGTGATATGTTAAAAGTATTTTTAGAATTTATCAATTTTGTTGCCATTAGTTTTGTTTGTTCTCTATCATGCACTGTATTGAAATTACTGTTATTCTGCAAGATGTCCTGTGACGAAGAAATCACTATATTACTTACTTTCTAAAATTGAATAAGTCAAAAATGTCATAGCAAAAAAGCAGCCACTAATAATTCTCGTCAACAGCAATTTGTATCCAGGACATTTTGCAGTCAATTCCTATGAAATATTATTCGCTGAATCCGAAAATGTCGTCGAAAGTTATAAAAGTAGAACAGTTTTTGAAATATAATCAATTTTAGATATAATATGGAATTGACTGCCTAACTTTTATAGTTTTTGACGGTCTTTTCGATTTCAGGGGACAATTTTACATAAGAAGTGGCTGGTAAATGTCCAGGATACAAATAGAGTATGATATTGGACATATGTCCAATAATATAAATTTACATTTTTTACCGACCATTAATTGTACACTGGCCATTTTACTGTTTGTTTTCAGAATTAAAATTAAAACGCATTAAAGTGACAATGTTTAAACCATGAGAAACACATTTATACCACACACTGATCTGTACACTTTTTAGAAATATTTTTTATTGTCATTTATACACAGCCCTGCTCTTAACATAAAAAAACAAAAATCTTACCACCAAAGTAACGTGCGAACTTTTTTGTCCTTTATTGGACCCAAAATAAAGTAGTTCTATATTATTACCTACTGAGATAGTTATAATTGTATACAGTGTCATCTAATGATTTGACTTTAAGGTAAATATTTATAGAACTCTTGTTTTTACAGTATTAATGTTAATTGTCCAATAATTATAAAGTGTCCGATACCTGTCTACTTTACCCTATACATATTTAAATATTATTGGATATTTTCAGAATGAAATAGGAGCTGAATCTAGGTAGGCGGGTTTCCATTGAGTAATTAATTTAATAAGTAAAGTTATCAAGCTTATTATGTGTTACCAGATTCCTAATTAAAGGTGACAATTAATTATTACTCATGTTAAAATGTCACCCCCAATTAAGTAATGGAAATTTAGTAAACATTTCAACTGCTAACTATAGCTATGGAAATTATCAAAATAGCATTTGAAAAACATCTTCATATATATATACATTTTCATGTTTAAATACACTGAGGACAAACCTAAAGATGACCGTGGTTGTGGGAACAAATTAAATGCTATTCAATGCATTTTTGCATTTCAATGATGCATGATATGCTTGTGGCTTCAATAAGTTTATGAAATTTTCTCGTCGATCTGGATTTCTGATTCAATTGAACGTCTTGATCAATGTACTCAAATGTTGATTTAGAAGCCACGTTCAAATTTATTCACCCAATTTTAAATAATGGTGGAGATCTGCCATAAACTCTTTTGTTGTTTTGGTTTTAAAGTTGTTTTTTTCATCGTCTGAAAATATCAAGAGCTATTTTCTTAAATAGCTTGTTAAAAGGAAACCATGCGATCTTCCTATTGACGCAATATTCACGTGGCGCTGAGAAGGCGGTGAAAAAAAATAGATGTTTTCTTTGCCGTAAAATGAACTACTCACATAAAGGTGCAACTACTAACATAACCAACAAAGAACAAAACATACTCCTGTTTATATATGGAAAGGTTAATGAATTATTCATTATGGTAATTTTAAAAGGATGCAAAAGATTGTTTACATTTACACTTTATTAATAATCAACAATAATTTGACATTTTTTAACAAAAAAAAATTAATTTATAAAACTGATAACATAATTTGCATCTAAAATTGTATTTAAATCGCTTCAGTGGTTGAGATTCTCAATATCTTAAGATATTTAACTTTGGTTAAAAATATACACAACATTTTTTTAGATTCAGGGACTAATATTAAAGGTGTTAACGTTTATACTAGTGTTAAAAAACTTTTTTCTGTGCGATTTCAGGAATAATTTAATATCGAAATAGTATATTCTGTAACAAGTTTGAAATACAGCATATTCCGCTCGATTGAAGAGTTTGTCACACGAGCCGAAGGCGAGTTTGACGGTTTCACGAGAGCGGAATATGCAATTCCAAACGTGTTTCAGACTATACTTTTTTTACGTTTCTAAAAAATACCATAGAAAAATAATTTAATTGGAAGAAAGTGAGGTTGGAACGGTCTAAAATTTGTTAGATATTAAAAACAGAGATGTCGCCACGAGTGTTTATTCTGTCATCTGATGATAGAATATTTCATTCTGTAACACTTTACGGAATATATGTCATTCCATAGATAAAAGTGATATTAGAATGGTCAAATTCCGTAATAGGAGTAGAAAAAATTGTTTCCTTTAAGGGTTAATTTTTTATATATCATAATAAATAGTTGCCCAATTTTTATTCCAATAAAATGTCAAACGCATTTTAAAAAAATATTATATATACGAGGTGTCCCTAAAATGATTGTACAAAATCCACATATTCGTGAGACCAAAATATTGGCAAATATTTATTATATCGGAGATACAGGGTCGTTTTCTTTTTTATTAAATAACTTAAAAATACAACGTTTTTGCACACAAAATTTAAAATTCAGGGTTTTTTCAGGATGGAAAAATTACATTTCTTTAAAAATATAATGTAGGCTGTAGAGGGCGCCGTCTGAGACACTTTACGTTAAAATTGTTAAATTTTTTTTGCGCCTTAGTGTATTGGCGTTTTAATAAAAATAATACTTTTTCACCTTTATAACGCAAAAAAGTACAACAAAACAAACTTTCAACTTCGACACCTTGTATGTAAAAAAATTAAAATAGTAATATATTTTAATATAATAACATATTTATAATAACAGGGACGGATCCAGGGAAGGGATAAAAAAAATTACTAGAATTAAAAGCTTAATCTCGTTTCCGTACTCTATAAATAATATTAATTTAGACAGAGTCAATTATATAAAAGATTAAGGTGTTTATTTCGATTGTAAGGTAACATTTCATTATTACATTAATTTTATTGTAAATAAGTCTTTAAAAATGTTACGATTTTTAAAATTCAATTTTAATAATGTTCAATGTTTAAAAAATGTATATGGGTGAATATATTGAGATGTTCCCCAAGTAAAAATGATTATTTTTTATTTTTGGTTGTTTCATTGTTGGTCTAGAATATGGTTTTTGGAAAGCCACCAGGTCTAGTAATAAAATAACATAAGTGGTTCTGCACTAATGCAAGAATTTTAAGAAATCAAACATTTTGAATATTAGAGCTTCATGGAAGATAGCTTCACGGAGGTTAGGATTTCGTATGTTTTTTTTAAACATCCCTTTGTATATTTGAAATAGGTAATTGAATCTTTTGACATCTTAATATTTTTTAAAAATACAATTGTATATACATAAAATATTTATAAAAATAATCTATTGACTGAGATATTACACTTCACGGTGGATAGGTTTTTAAATAGCAAATTAATGAACTTAAACTTTTGTATTATAAAACAACAACACTCTCATCTGCATATAAATTTTAACTGACCTTCAAGAATCACATGCATCTATAATGTCGTAAACAGAGGTTTTTGCTTATTTAAAATGATTAAAGCGCCATCCGTTGCATAAAATTTAAAGAAAAAACAGATTCACGGATGATAGAATCAATTTTTGTAACACCTACATAAATGGTTGTAAAAATTATTTCTTTTAATTTTTAATAATATTTAATATTTGATTCGATTGCTTTGGATGTGTTTAATTTAGTTAGTGAACTGATATTTTAGTATGCTTTTACTACCTCAGATATTTGAAAACATATAGGTTAACCTAGAAAGAGTAACAGTCACGGATGATAGGTTTTAGACTTTTAAAACATAATTAATTGCGGTTAGAAATCTGGGCTGTAATATCTACTTAATTATGAAAGATCAAACCACAAAAAAAGTGTAGGTCAAACTCATTTGATTTTATTAAATATCACGGGGTAACACATCGGGGGACATTTCGTGAGATTCACCCATATATGTCATTAGTCCGTAGTATTTCAGTGTACTGTTGTGTTGTTTGGTCACCTTTTTATTTTAATTTTGGTATAAAAATCGAAAGAGTTCAAAATAAATTTGTACGCTATTGTGCTTGCAAACTAAATATTGAATGCACTTATTCTTTGGATTTGGTTAGAAGTGTTATAAAGTTAGATTTACTAAGTAAAAGGAGAACAAAATTTGGAAATGTATTTCTTTATAAATTACTAAACAATTGTATAAATTGCCCATACCTTTTGACGCAGATAAATTTTCTTGTGCCATTAAGAAACATCAGGCAAGCAAATTTATTTTACATCAAAAATTATAGGACCCAATATGGCCCATGTAGGCCATCTGTAGAATTTGCTCTGATGTAAATAAATTATATAAATTTTTTTATTTGTTCTTTTATTATTATTATTATCATTAAATTCTTATATTAAATTGGAAAAAATAATTTTTATGCTTAAAACAAGAATAAGTTTCCAATAATAAAATATTGTACACTTACAGGCAAAATAATCGATCCACACAAATTTTTCAATCGCAAATAACTTTTTTATTTGTTTTCGGATTTAAACAAATAATAAAGGATATTGTAGATATTTTAATGGAGAATTGCTCACATTTTAAAAATTACTAAAAAATACAAGTAGGTTTATAATATACAGGTTTAAACAAAAAGATGTTTTTTACTATAAGTTTAAGACACTCTATAGAGTGGCAAAACCATAGATTATTCTAAATTAAGTTTTAATTATCAAGTCACATCTATTTTTAACAGTTTTGTTTTTGGTTCACCTTGATATATTTATTTTTGTGGAAAATATGGTTTGTTTTAAAAAACATTGCAATTTCCAATATTTTTCCTGTAAAAAGAACTAAGGTTGCTATGGTCTGCTATAGCCTATGGAGGATGACAGTGGCAGTTTTGTTGAATCATCCCATACTTGTACATGTCATATACAGCTTTCAAAGCTATCAAATTGTTTTTTGTAAATTAATGTGTAAATTTTGAGGTGTCTTCTTACTTTTAAAAATGTCTCCGACTGATGTTGCCCTTTGTACTTTACTTCTTGTGACGTTTAAAACACTTGCCACGTAATACTGTGACCGTTCATCCTGGATTAAATTAATGGCTCTGGCAACATCAGTCGGACACATATCCATTTTTTAAAGTAAGAAGAAACCTCAAAATTTAAACATTAATTTGCAAAAAACAATTTGATAGCTTTTGAAAGCCGTGTATGACATGTCAAAGTATGGGATGATTAAACAAAATTGTCACTGTCATTCTCTATAGCCTATGGATGGACCATAGCAACCTTAGTTCTTCGTACAGAAAAATATTGGAAATTGCAATGTTTTTTAAAAAAATCCATATTTGCCACATAAATAAATATATCGAGGTGAACCAAAAACAAAACTGTTAAGAATAGATGTGACTTGATAAATAAAAGTTAATTTAGAACAATATACGGTTTTGCCACTCTACAGAGTGTCTTAAACATATGGTAAAAAACATCTTTTTGTTTAAACCTGTATATTATAAACGTACGTCTATTTTTTAGTAATTTTTTAAAATGTGAGCGATTGTCCATTAATTTATCTACAATATTCTTTAATATTCGTTTAAATCCGACATCAAATAAAAAAAGTTATTTGCGATTGAAATTTATCAAAAAAAAATTCGTATTTAAAAAAGTAAACATTTTTAGTATAATCGTTAAGTTAAGTTTAATCAATTTAAAATTTAAGTAGGCGTTACAATTTTTAAAGTAAATTTACAAATACTAATTTAATATGGATGAAATAAAGTGGTAAAATTTAAAGCCCTCAAAACTTTCCTGTGAAATTCGCTGGAATCCAAAACCAAACAACCACTTGTTCTTGAACTAATTGCACCATCGATTTTTCAGCGTGCCACCCAGTGACCTACTTCTGCGTCTAGGCGAGCACGACCTCTCCACCGAGAGTGAACCCTACTTGCACCAGGAACGCAGGGTGCAGATTGTCGCGTCGCATCCGCAATTCGATCCCAGGACTTTCGAGTACGATTTGGCGCTTCTAAGGTTCTACGAACCCGTCACCTTCCAGCCCAACATTCTGCCGGTGTGTGTGCCACAAACCGACGAGAATTTCGTGGGGAGGACCGCTCATGTGACAGGATGGGGGAGATTATACGAAGGTACGGTTTTGGAGAAGATTTTCGAGAAAATCTTTTGACTAATCGGCCATTTCAAGCGCGCGAAACGCACGAATCACAAACCTATTGTAGATAGAAATTGTAGATAATTTATTATAAAATATTTTGGCATCAAAATTGCCAAAGATATTCTTTTTTTATTAAGCCATACATTAAATAAAAAATAACGCAAGAAATATTTTATAAAAGTAGAGATAATTTTAATAATTGAAAGGTGTGGACGGGACAAAAAAAAAAGATTTGTCTTGTCCCGTCCACACCAGCTGAGAATTGGTTTGTTCTACCTCCCAAAACCTAAACAGGGAAAACAAGCTGTTTAATGTTTCATTTATAACTTACTTCTGCATTTTAAAACATATTGCAATAAAGTTTTATGTAGTAAATTCAATTAACTACATAAAACTTAATTGTAATATGTTTTAAACCGCAGAAGTAAGTTATAAATGAAACTTTAAATGGCTTGTTCTCCCTTTTCAGGTTTTGGGAGATAGAACAAACCAATTCTCAGCCGACGACCTGCGTTTTTTTATTTTATGTATAGCCTAATAAAAGAAGAATATATTTGAAAATTTTGATGCAAAAATAATATACAGTGTGCCCCATTTGTTTGCGACTCACCCCTTTAATGTGCGATTTTAACCGGATTTGTTTTAAAGTGTAGATTTTGTACAAAATACGTATTATGTCAGTAAATTTTTAAGAATTCATATTAGCGATTTTTAAACAAAATCTAAGCATGGCACTGGATTCACCACCCCTCAAAACGACACTTTGCTAAATTTTATTGAAAAATTTTAAGTAGAAAAATGCGAAATAATAACTACAAAAATTTATTCTGTCAAGTTTTCCATGAAAAAAACATTAAAATAAAATTAAACTTATAGTAATAGTACCATGGCGAGGTGTAGGTTAAATTTTTTCTTATGAATATTACCAGTAATGGGTCAAGAAAGTTTCTTAAAGAAACTAAGAAAATTGAATGTTTATAAATTTAGTATAGGGTCGTTTTAAGGGGTGGTGAATCCAGTGCCGTGCTTGGATTTTGTTTAAAAAAATCGCTAATATAAATTCTTAAAAATTTACTATTAAAAAGTGACATGGTAGCCTTGTATTTTGTAAAAATATGGCGTTTTTTGCTTCAAAAATACAGTTTATCAATATCTACAGTTTAAAACAAATCCGGTTAATCAGGGGTGATTCGCAAACAAATGGGTCACACTGTATAATAAATTACCTACAATTTTTTTTTATAAAAAACAATTTTGTAATTCATCCCATCCGTATGCTTGAAATGGCCGTAATGTTTAACTAGATAACGCAAACAGTAGAAAGAGCATAAGGGAAGTTGCACGCGAATTTTCCGTTCACAGTTCAGCGGGTTATGAAGGACCTTTATTTTACGCGAGTGCAGCCGAAAGATGATCTCTCTAGAGTGGAATTCTGTAGTGGTTGCTAGAGATTTTTGCTCTGTAGTACTACAGAACTAGTTGTTTAATTTTTACTTTAAAACATTTGGGTCCTGAAGTATGACATTTCTTTTTGAAAAGTTGGTAAAACAGTCAAACAAATGATTTTTAAAAGTTTTAGGACAACAATGTTCTATCGTATCCTAGCAATTTTTAAAGCTCCTATGTTTAACCTAGGCGAAAGCTTTTTTGCTCTGATTTGATTACCTAGACATTTTTTTATTTTTAAATGTCCCAAAATTGGCGGACCAAAGGGTTAAGGTAAATTCCTCTTAAAATTTCAAGATAATTTGTTCACCATTTTACCAGGAAATTGCAAAATTACAGTAGTTTTAATAAAAAATAGATCACTATTTTTATTAACCAATTCTGCAACAAAAATAATTAAGATGACTATTTTTAAATTATAGGGTCTGCATTTTTAAATCAAAAATACACCTTTAATAAAAACAGATTTGCTTTTAACATCTTGTATCTATTGTTTTGCAAGTACCAAAATACCGAAGATTAAATTAAATTAGATAAATTAATTAATTCGCGACTATCAAAAATGGCGAATGCACCAGTATTAAAAGTCAATTATAATTAATTTTAAATTTTATAGTATACATTAAATACCTATACAATCAAAATTATTTTTAAAGCAAAATTAAAAAAATAATAATAAATTATAGTGGTTTATTGTAATATAAATACAAAAATTAAAACAATAAATCAACCTTTCAACAACGTTATAATAGGGGCACTCTGAATAAATTTAAAAACAATTTATTCAGCTACATGACATTTTAAATATTTGAAGTCGCATTTTATGCAAATTTAATCTAGATCACAATATTTGCATACATAATTTTGCAAAAAAAAATTAAACCAAATAACTTTTCTTTAACTTTTTAAGTGGTCTGCATTTTATTTTGAAAAGGAAATATTATAATTTCTTTATTTTTATGTTATATTTTTGGTGGTAATTCATTCTAGGATTTTTTTAAAATTTATCACTCAAAATACAATACAAATTATTGTGCTATCATTGATAATCAAGCATCGCTTGTAGCGCCCCCAAGTGCCCGTTATTATCGTAACAAAACTACAAATTTTAATAATCAGCTGTCAAACGCGTATGTTAAAAACAAATTTTTTTGAGAAAAAGGCCGGAAAATGTTAAAAATATGGGGAAAAAACTTGAAACGATATGTCGAGTTGTTTGTTTTTCAAGAGGAAATCCTAGGTTAAATTTTTACCAATTTTCAAATAAACAGTGGAAATTTAAACGAAGAAATAAACTGCATACAGCCTGTAAATATAAATTGTACCTATTAGATACAGAAATACACATTTTAGTAATGATTTATGTGAAAATTGTAAACATTTCAATTCAGTAAGTCGTCTAAATTCAAACAGCATTATGCATTAATAAAAGCGTGGAATAAAAAAGTCTTCTCTTAACGGTAAAAGACTAAAAACGGGTATTACCTATATTATGTATTATATATATTATATTATGTTGCCATGAATTCGTAGATTTATTTTGATGTTTTCTATTTTATAATGCAAATATGTTATGTTTGTACAACTATAATTTTTTGTTAGATTTCTTAAAAATGTCCAAACTCTTATTATTTTATATGAGGTAAATTTATTATTAGTTAATTCTGCACCAACAAATATTTATTTATTTATTTAGTAGTACATACAGAGAAAATCCAAGTAGTATAAAAATATACAGTAAGAATTTGTACAAAAAAACAAAAAGAGAAGGAAAAAAATATATATAATACACAAACATATAATTAACTATTATTAATAAGGTACTTTTTAAAAGAAAACAAGCTTACATTAAAAATATCGATATTGCCGGCATTCAGATTACGTGCCAATCTAGGCACACACCTGAATTGCATGTAATTAGTTCTACACAATGGAATAAGTATTAATGCACTATTGCGAGTATTGATGGTAGGTACACGTAAAGAAAAAAGTTTCAATTTATCAGAACAGTAAATCAAATTATTAAATACCATTAAATCTTAAACATAAAAATTTTATCAAAGTTTATACGCCGTATTCCTAGCAAGGATAACTTATGATTATAACTAATATCATTAGAAATCTTAATAAAAATTTCACATTTTTTTCTAACAGGTTAATATAACACTGTTGTGAGGGTCTCCATATAACTGATGCGTATTCTAAAATGCCCGAGACAATTAATTTCAAAAAATAAGATTAAAATCTTGACATTATCTAATAACAAAACCACACATTCTCCTAGCCTTAATAACAATTTTATCAATATGCTGGATAAAAGTTAACTTTGTATCAAATAATAAACCTAATTACCTTACATTTACTTATATTTAACTCAAGAAAATTGCCATTACACCAGTCAGCAATACGATTAGGATGTGATTGGAGCATTTGGTAATCCAAAAGTGAAGATACTTTTTTATACAACTTTAAATCATCCGCAAATAAGAGAAGTTCGCAAAATTCAACACATGTAGTAATGTCATTAATAAAAAGGAAAAATTAAATAGGGCCCAAAAGTGACCCTTGCGGTACTCCTAAAGTAACGTCAATTAAATATTAAAGGTATCCTAAAAAAACTACAATTTGCCTTCTATTAGTTAGGTAACCTAGCCAGCTGTGTAAAGTACCAGTTATACCGTAAGACTTAAGTTTCAAAACCAATATCAACTTACCAAATAGACTCGGTAAAATCTTTGACAAATGGATCAATAGATAAACATTTTTCTGACGTTTTTATACAAAATAGCCTTTTCTTAGAACCATATAATTACATGGAAACAATAAAAATAATGTTATCAACTACAAATAAAAAATCTTCTGGTCATGATAAAGTACCCTGTAATATTTTAAAACATATTGCAGAAGTTATTGCCCCTTGTTTAACTTTTTTAATAAATTTATCCTTTGAAAAAGTCTATTTTCCTCGACAAGCAAAAAAAGCCATAATAATACCTATCTTTAAAAAGGAAAACAAATCTAATTTGCTAAATTATAGACCAGTTTTCCTCTTGAGTATCTTTTCAAAAATTTTTGAAAAGGCCTTTTATGATAGGGTTACTTCATTTACCTACAAGTACAATTTAATAACTGAAGTGCAGTATGGATTTACCCGAGGACAGTCAACACAAACAGCTATGATTTCGGTATACAACATTTTAAATTCATTCAATAACAAACTTAAAACTTGTGGAATCTTTTTTGATTTTACAAAAGCGTTTGATACTGTAAATCATAAGTTACTTCTAAATAAATTAAGTTCCTATGGTATTCGGGGAAAAGCTGGTCTCTGGGTAAATTCATACCTATCAAATAGGGTTCAGGAGGTTTATATAAAATATGATAAAAATGTTTTTAAATCAAAATGTTTGAGCATACCAAGCGAAGTTTCTCAGGGAAGTATACTTGGACCACTACTATTCCTTTTTTACATTAATGATCTTGTAAGTAATATAAATCAGGCTTTTATTACAATGTATGCTGATGACACATCGGGTGTGGTAACGGGTGATATACAATCTGAATAGCTCGGCAAATAAATGTGTAAATAAAATGAACTCTTGGTGCAATAAAAATGGCCTTTTTCTGAATCCTTAAAAAACACAACTAATAATGTTTCATCCCAAGCACAACTTCCATAAACTACAGTATCTGGGTAAAATGTAATGGTGGTGCACTACGCCAAAGTTCGAATGTTAAGTTTTTGGGGTTAACTTTTGATGAAAATCTTTCTTGGGAGCTGCATATAAGTGATCTTGCTAATAAACTATGTTCAAAAAACCATTGCATGACCCAATTAAGAGAAGTGGTGAATTTACCCACATTAAAGACCTTTTATTATGGAAGTGTCCAATCGATTCTTTCTTATGGAATATTGTGTTGGAGAAATAACTCCTGTAGTAATAGAATTTTCATAGCACAAAACGTATTTTAAGGTCTATGTTAAAAATACCCTGTAATAGTCATTGTAAAACTTATTTTAAATGTAATCAAATTTTAACCGTCCCATGTATTTATACATATATGTATATACTAGAATGTATAGTGTATGTCCGTCTTAATATTAAAGAGTTCAAAAAGTGCGGTGATATAAACAAATACGAAACAAGCAATACAAACAAACTCTATGTCCCCACACACAATTTAACGCAAGTATACAAAGGCCCAATAATAACAGCGATAAAATTGTATAACAAGTTACCTAGTAATATTATAAAATTAAATAACTTTCGTAAATTTAAAAATGCTGTATCCTCGTATCTAAAAGAAAGAAGTTTTTATTCTATTGAAGAATATTTTGAACAATAACTACAATTTTATGCTGTTATGCTAATATATGTTTTTTTAACAATATGTAAATTTTTACAATTCTTTATGTATTTTATATTATATTTTAGACGTTTTCCTATACAATTTTGTGAATTGTCGTTTTTGGAAATAAATATTATTATTATTATTATTAAATTTGATCTTTTGGCAAAACCTGAAAATGCAACGATTTAGTTCTTGAATTCCATTTACAATTAAAAAAACAATCATTCGCCATGATCACTTAGATAAAATACACAAACTAATGTAATATATATTTACTGACGCGAAACACAAATAACGTGCGCGATTTAGCTGTGCAATTGAAACTTTGCGAACAAAATTTGACGAGTAAGACTTTATATATTTATTTAATTTAATTAAGAACGAACAAAAGAAAAATTTTCCATAAAACTTTCTGAATATTTAAATGAGAAAAAATAAAAATACAATGCTTTTAAGGATTAGTAAAAGTATGTTGCTCTACAAGCGTACGGAAAGTCGCACTTGCCGCACTAGTTGGGTTAATAACTATTGTATCATCTTATTTAGGGATGTTTTTTTAGGATTTTAATCATTTTTAAAGCAATTAATAGCTATTTACATACCTTGGGGAAAATAGTGCTTTTCCTCCCGCGAATAGTTTGATGCCCGACGCGAAGCGAAGGGCATTAAATATTCAAGGATGGAAAAGCATTTTCCTCCTGAGGTTTGTATATAGTTTTTTCTATTACCTTTTAACGGTTTTAAGACATTTTAAGCGTTCCGGTTCCTTTTACTAACCCGGTATTATATTAGGGCTATAAAATTATGACAAAATATTAAGTAGGTGTTGCGTCGCCGACGTTATGTTGACAACGCTTTGTTGCTAGGGTATTTTTGGTAATAACAACATAACAGTTTTTATAAGCTGTCAGAATGTTTATCATAAATTTGAAGTTCTTCCTACGTTTTGAAAATGAGTTCTAGCGAAGAAGACCTGCCACAAGATCTTGCTAAAGAGGCAAGAATAGTTGCAATTAATTTCCTTCCTTAAAAATCGAAAGAGCGATATGAAAATGAATACCTATAGTTTGTTAAAAGAATGGTTGGACAAGCGCGGAGTAAATATTTTTCCTACAAAATCAAATAGGGCTAGACACGGCACAAAAACTCTTGCTAATGTAAAATTGTTAAAAAAAAAAAGAGGGAGGAAAATTTTCCACTCTCACTAGGGGGTGGAAAAATTAAGTTTTCTAGTAAGGTAGTACAAAAAAGTATATTTTTGCATATTTCTTTTTTTTCTCAGAGGGTCCCCTGCCTAGCATCCTGCAGGAAGTCTCGGTTCCTGTCATCAACAACTCCGTCTGCGAGTCCATGTACCGATCAGCAGGATACATCGAGCACATCCCTCACATCTTCATTTGCGCAGGATGGCGACGAGGAGGGTTCGATTCCTGCGAGGGCGACTCTGGCGGCCCCATGGTGATCCAGCGCGAAGACAAGCGATTCCTGCTGGCAGGAGTGATTTCCTGGGGCATCGGGTGCGCCGAACCCAACCAACCCGGAGTCTACACCAGGATAAGTGAGTTCAGGGATTGGATCAATCAGATCCTGCAGTTTTAAGGGCCGGCAGGATTTTGCAGGGCAAAGTGAACTAGTTGAAATTAATTTTGCTCAAAACCTTAAATTTGGACGATTTTTATTGCGAAATTCGTAAAAGACTTTATATTACCCATTAGTGCAATGGGTGAGATGAATTTTGACATATTTTTTTTTAAATGAACCTAACTCCAAAAAAATTGGTTTTAATTTTTTATTTTACAAATATTTATGCCAATAATATGGTAGACCTGTGTTATTGTTATTTAGTTAATAAGTACCAAAAGACAAGTATCTATTAGTATTAAAATTATAAAAAAGTATTAAAAAAGAACAATTTTTAACTCAAATATTTTGTATGTGATCTACAAATCAATATGAGGTGCCGTTTTATTTTTTATTTAGAATTTTTAACCCTAGACACGGTGGTCAAAACTAAAGTATAGGACGAACAAAAATGCCAACCAAAACTGATAGCATAATCTGATTATAGACTCTTTTGGTAACACAAAAATGTATTTATCAAAATCCCAGCTGATCCTTTATTAAAGTTTTGCATATTTCTTAGTATTTATGCTATTTAGATAAAATAATCTAGTACCATTATCAAATATTTTTAAAAATTTGGCAGATACATGAGTTTGCAATATCTTATTTATTGTTTTAAGGTACCTAATACAAAACTAATAAATACCTAAAGATTCTTTGAAGCAAAATCGATTACTGCTTGCATTAAATTTTCAGTAAAACTTTTTCTTGGGTTTTACATGGAATTGTTTTTAACACGGAAACAGTATTTTTAAATTCTTTAGTCTCTTTACAAACATGCTTCTTACATCTAGCGATATCCCCTAGAAAGGAAGAGCATATCAAAACTTTAGTTCGTTCGTCCGTCCCCTTCCTTTAATAATTTTTTATGCCCTTTATATCTTGCCATTTTGCAGATAAAGCACATACATTTTTGGCTGCCGCGAAATTCTCTAGCAATTTCTAAATTTTGAAAATTTGGCATTTGTGGCTATGCAAAAATACCGTTTTTACCATATTGAAGTAGATAATTTTGAATCACTTAAGTTAAAGTGTTCGTTTGAAAAATTCTGCAGTAATTTTTATATTTTCTCAGAAACCCTAAACTCTGAGTTTTTCGATTACCAAAAACAATTTTGTCTCCACAGCTAGCACATACCTTCTTTCGATTTTCTTTATGGCTTAACTTGAATTTCGGTTTAATTTTCATTTTAAAATACTATTTTTAACTTTATAAAGTATACATTAAATAAACAACTAAAGCAAAATGTCACTTGCGTTATAACGTATAGCAATTTTTTTCATAACCACCTTAATTATTGTTTTACAAAATTAGTATTTTTTGTTATAAAAAATATTTAAGATATAAATCTTCGTTTTTTTTTTGTTTATTTTGATTTGAGTGGTAAAAATTAATAGGTGACTCAATAAATTAATACTGGGGAGTAAAGTAATTTAAATGATACAAAGTTTATTTTTTTGCTTAATTTTATTAAAATTGTATAGGTAGTTTTAGTACAATAATTGCAAAATAATTTATAGAAATAGAAAACCAAAAAAGTTTGCAACACTTTAAAATAGGATCTGCTGGGATTTTGATAAATACTTGTTAGTGTTACCAAAAGGGTCTATAATCAAAATATGCTATCAGTTTTGGTTGGAATTTTTGTTCGTCCTATACTTAAGTTTTGACCACTATAGAGTGATATTTTCACCCATAATACAACAAGTGGTATGATTATCATCGATGATATTTTCGAATTGAAACCGGAGCTGCAGATTTCACAGGACGCAGGACGAGTGAAATGTGCTGCTTCGGTTTTATTATTATTATTATTAATCATACCAAGAGTTATATTTAGTGACAAAATATAATGAATTTTAGGATATAACGAATTGTCAGCTTGACATTTGCATTAAAATGTGCTTTAAAATATAAAGACTTTAATAAACCTTATTTATTCAAACTTACCTTAATTTTATTATCGTTTACACCAACCAATCGATCTTTTAGAGTTTATAATTCACTATTTTCATCATTTAACAAACACAGTATTTAAATGTCAACAAATGTCAAATCAAGAAAAGTGTCAAAATCCTTAGCAACGTGTAAACAAGGTGATAAAAAATATTGTCGCTGTGATAAAATGCGTAACCATGGAATACTGGCATTTTATTGGTTCTAATTAATAATTAGTAATTATAATGAATTGTATTGTCGCTGTAATAAAATGCGTAACTATGGAATACTGGCATTTTATTTATATCGCTAAATTAAAAATATCTGCTATGATATTTTTAATGTAGGAAATTAAAAATACGTGCTTAACTAAAAAATACAAATATAAGAAAAATATATTTTAAATTCACTTAATTAAAAATATCAGTTTGGCATAAAAAATAAGTTAAATTTTCTAAATCTACTATGATATTTTTAATTCGCAGAATATTAATTATAATACGATATTTTTTTCTAATTGAAAATATCACTTTAGTGTTAACACTAAAAATTATTCTTTAATAAAAAATAAAACTGCTCCCCATAAATTAAATAAGAATATCAAGTACTACTTAATAGAAATTAATACATAAACAAAAATAATTTGTGGATATATTTTTCTATAAAAAGAAAAACAACAAAAATAAAAGTGTATCTAATGATAAAAGTGAGAATTTATTTTTAATTTGTGAATTGACCATTGTAAAAATAGATATATTTATATTAATTGTATGGTTGTATTTATTTAAACATTGACAGGCAAAGTTAAAATATTAAGTGTTTAATTTAACTTTTTCTGTCGATAATTCCTTTAACGTAGAATACATGCGACTCAATTTTATTTATACTTTTGTATATAAAGGTGCGTGTACTTATTTATATTGTGCAAAAATAAAGTATTTATGAAAAATTGGGCATTTTATTATTATTTTTTTCCTTCTGATATTATAAAATTGTTCACCCCATTATGGAACTCCAAAGTATTTTTTTAATCGTCAATTAAAAATATCACATTTGAATTTGCGATATCACAAATTTTATTTCTGATATCGGAAATTAATTTGCGATATCGAAAATTAATTTTTGATATCACAAATTAATTTTCGATATCGCAAATTAATTTCTGATATCAGAAATAAAATTTTGTGATATCGCAAATTCAAATGTGATTTTTTAATTCTATATTATGGAACGCCAAAGTATTTTTTAATCGTCATTTAAAAATATCACATTTGAATTTGCGATATCACAAATTAATTTCTGGTATCACAAATTCAATTTCTGTTATCAGAAATTGATTTTCGAAATCGAAAATTAATTTTCGATATCCCAAATTAATTTCTGATATAAGAAAAATTAATTTTCGATATCGAAAATCAATTTCTGATATCAGAAATTGAATTTGTGATACCAGAAATTAAATTTGTGATATCGCAAATTCAAATGTGATATTTTTAATTGACGATTAAAAAATACTTTGGCGTTCCAAGTTTAATCCCTTACAATTGATAGTAAGACCCTTATTGCAATTTTCAATTTTATGAATGGTACATATTTTTTTTTGTAAATTAACTGATCTACAAAAAGTTTTTATAGTTTTTTAAAAATGTAACCGTTTCAAAGATAATCGCGCGCGCGAAACAATAATAAGTTTTATTTAATATAAAGAATATCCCGTATGGTCTAGTGGTAAGAATATCTAGCTCTTAATATAACAAGAATTAAATGTATCCCCTGAATCATTCATTGATATAAATGTACAATATGTGTAATTATTAAAATGAAAAATACATGTTTTAAATGTCTCTCATCGAGAAAGCTCCGGTTAAATTCCCAGTAACGGAATATTTTAATTAATAAGAAAACACATATATTTCAAAATCCACAAGTAAAATTTATATTTTCAAGGTACATGATAAAAAAATATTTGTTAATTTTAACCAAATATGAACCAGATTTTATGTTAATCCAGGGCCACATACCTTATTTTTAAAAACCTTCTTGTAACTTAAATGAAAAAAAAAATTCATAAGAAATGTTGCTTTATTAATAAATTTTATAACCAAAAAAATTAACAAATACCTACATAAATAAACACAAAAATAACATACAAACAATTAAATAACACACTCTCTAAAAATTAAATAGTCAAAATTGTACTATTTGAATTAGTACTAGCATTTTTTACTAATAAAATAGTCGTTTTCACTTTTAAATAGTAATTTTTTACTACGTAAATAGTTAAAGTTTGAATAATTAAAGATTAGTAACCTTCTCTGACTATTTCTGAGAGTTAAAAGTAACTAATTTCTTTAATCGTTTGCGGCCAACAAACAAAGTATTATTTGAATTCAATGTATATACCTAAGCTCCATGCTTAAATGACCCATAAAAACAAATAAATATGCAAAAAGTTTAGCTCAAAACAGCAACACAAATAATATATTCAACTTTAAAATATTATGAACAAAATTTAATGACAAATAAAATTGATTTTTATAAGAGCGGCTGATGGCCGAATGGGTTATGACAACAGCTTGACAAGCTTGACAAGTGACAGACCTGAGTTCAATCCCAGGCTGGGTCAAAACCTTTTTTTAATTTAAATCCACTAATTTGACTATTTCATTCAGTAGAATTTGACTAATTATTAGTGACTGCTTTTTCGCTATGACAATTAGTCAAATATGACTTATAATTATAAAGAAATTTGGTACAATATAATTATTACTACTACTACAAAACTTACTGATGTATTTCTCTCTGGACAGTTGTTACGAACACGTTTCGAATTAGAATAAAGTAAGCAGAAACATAAGTTGCACAGAACAGTTGAACTTCTTGATGCGTATTGTCCGTGGGAAATGTTTTGATTGACCGCCTGAAATCACGTGTACTTTTTCAACAAAATAATTTGTTAAACATTAACAAAATATTCTGTAACCTTTGAAATTAACAAAATGTTTACAAAATTGCATATTACCTTTACTTACAAAAC